AACGGTGTTTGATTTTGAAGATTTAAATGATTATAAAGAGATGGCGTCATCATCAGTGATTGTGCCATTGAAAAAGTTATGGCTAGTGTCTTTGCCAAAATTGAAGAATGTGTTGGGCAATAATGACCGCCAAGGAGAAATAAACTTAGTTTCTTCACTAGATGGTTCATGCCATCAATTAGAAGAACTTATGACGAAACAGAAAAAAGAGGACAATGAGGACAAGAAAATCATTTTCAGCAAACTGGAGTTTTTGGAACTTCATGGATTACCAAGATTGAAGAGATTTTGCAGCCAAAATTATGCTTTCGAGTTTCCATTATTACAATGTGCCATAGTAACAGAGTGCCCTCAACTCACAATATTCTGTTCCGGAGCCATTCATGCCCCGCTGCTTCAAAAGGTTCAAGTGACGACTCAATATGGACCTCATCACATAGATATTTGGATGACTGATCTTAATGCCACCATCCAACATCGGTTTACTATTCAAGAGGTTAGTCCAACATACTGATATTCTTGTTTTTCTCTTTTTAAATAATTCCTCATCATCTACAAAATTTAGGTTCAGATAAATATCTGACATAAATATTAAAGTTTGGACGTTCCGTCGTCTACCTAAAAATTGTAAACTTTGCATCAAATTACAAGACCCTGATTGCACGCGAAAGCTGATAAGCAAATGATAATTAATGGATGTGGCAGACTGCAAATAGTGTGATAGTGTTTGTAGATCTCTGACTGGAAAGAAATGGGCCTATAAGGTGATTCAAAGAATTTTGTTTCTGTTTAAAGTGATTTTGAGGAGGGGAGGGGGGATTAATGATGAAAAATATAAGTATTAGAAAAAGATGACAGGTCAATTAAGAAAGATTTTAGCTACAATTATATAAGAAATTATTATTTTAAAAAATATTCTGACCTGATTTATTAAATTGCCTTCTTATAATAATAATTTTACCAATAATCGTTTTATAGGTTATTTTCATAGTCAAAAAAGCCTAGCCTTAAATGTGAATTCGAAGGGGATTATGGGTTTTTTTTAATTTAATTTAGAGAAAAGAAAGGGGGTTATGAAGTTAATTTAAAGGATTTTTTAAATTTTATTGTGTGGATCTTATTTCATGGTGAAATGATGAAAATTTAGATATTGGCAAAAGATGAGTGATCCATTTAAAATGTTTTGATTCTTGAAAACAATATCTTGATGTAATTTACTAAATCGCCTACTCATTATGGTAATTGTTTTACTAATTATGATTTTATAGGTAATTTCCACAACCGAAAGCATGGCTTTAAATGCAGAGAATATCACAATGATAAGGGATGTCTTTCCTGAAGTGAGAACTCTTTATGTAGAAAGCTTCCAGGATGAAGGGGTAACCTTTCCCCATAGCTCCCTTGAAAGATTTCCCAAGTTGGAAGAGCTTTATGTGGAGAATAGTTCCTTTGAGGAGGTATTCCCCCCACAAGATGAGATTATCGATTTTATGGGGAAAATCCCACCATTTAAGGAATTACACATTGCCTATTTGGATCAACTCAAGAGCATATGGAATGATGACTCTCAGCTACCACCAATTCATCAACACCTAATAAAACGCCTGGAAGTCGAAAGTTGTCATGGCTTGGTCAAGTTGGCACCATCCTCTGCTTCATTTCAAAAATTGAGGAATCTAACTGTATCTGGATGTCATCAGCTCGTCTATTTGGTGACAAGTTCAACTGCCAAAAACTTGGTGAGTCTTAGAGAACTGATGATAAACGATTGCAAAAAGATGGAGGAAATTGTATTGAACGAGAACAATGAAGGTGTAGAAGGTGGAATCACATTTAACCAATTGCAGCAGATCAAACTTACTGATATGCCAAGCTTGAAGATGTTCTCTTCACGAAGTCAGACATTTGAATTCCCTAAATTAGAAGAGATAGAAATAACCAGATGTCCTGAAATGAAGGTGTTTTGTTCAGGAGTGTTGGAAACACCAGAGTTATCTAGAGTGAAAATACAAGAGCGTGAGATGGAATGGAAGGATAAAGATGACCTGAACAAATCAATAGAAATGCTACCCGTAGCAAAAGTATGATATGTGCTTATGCCAATGTCACCTGTCTTCAAAACTACTTTTTTTTTTTTTTTAGGCCAACTAATATTATGATTTGGTGTTGCAGGATGTGTTAATATATAGGAGGATAACCCCATCATCCATGTTATCATTCTTTCCTGGTTCGTTACTTTTATGATTTTTTCTGCTTATTGTCAGTTTTTTTTTTTCATAGTGGTTATTATGATATCAATAAAAGCCTCATATATGAGGGGACAAGCATTGAGAAAAAGAAACTTGCATCTTTTTTTTCCCCTATACACCAAATTTTTCTTTTTCTTAAATTCTTTGTATGTTTTTGCTACATTTGTCCGTGCTTTACTATCACTAAAAGACACGAGTTTCTTGTTGAAATTTATTTCAATTTCTTTTCCAATAGTAATTACTATAATATCAACAACTGCTACATATATTAAAGGATGAAACAGAGGAGCCATCTTTTGTGAGTGTGAGTGTGTGTGTGTGTTTTTTTTTTTTTTAAATTTTTTATAAAATTTTTCTTTGTTTCTGTGCATTCTCTCTGTATAGTATCGGTTGAGTTATTGCTTATTTTAAAGAGATCAACTGTGATTAAGAAGAAAAGAAACAGCTGGCGTATTTCAAAAAGGATGATTTTGATAATTTGATTACCCCAATTATTTAACCCATTTTTTCATCTAAATAGATAATATTTAAAAAATCGAATGATAAAAACAGAGGGGCTGTTTGTTTCTGTTTCCCCCCCCCTCTCAAAATGGTTTTAAAATTGTTTTTTAAAACAAGTTTTGAAAACAAAAAAAAAATCCTGTTTGGTTAATTGCTTCAAAAAACTGCATTTGAACAAACATACTGAGACTGGAAAGTGAAGTTTGAATGAGAACTCAAGTTTTTATAGGAAAAAAGCCATCAAGTGGAGAAAAAGGGTTTTTCAATTTTTGCAAAAAAAAAAAAAAGGAAATGTGTAAACAAAAACAAGAAAAATAATAAAAGTGTTTTCGTTTTTGAGTTTTTAAAAATATTTCTGTTTTTGGTTTTTAAAACACTCTTAATTAACAATAAATTACAAAACAAGCCTTTTTAATTTTTTTTATTTTAAAACAAAAAAACGGCTTTCAAAATAAGAAAACAAATGAGGCTTTTAACGCATTGACTACAAAATGAATTAGATTTGATAACATGAATATATGCAGAATACACTCATAGCCTTCTTCGTTTCTTTGCTTGATTAATGCAGGCGGCTAATCCGAAGTGTGGACTACAAAAGCATTGATTGCAAGATGATGAATATGCAACGATATTTGTGCGGTGATGCTTTTGTTGAATTCTCAATTATTTGATAAATGAGACTATTTTTATCATAAACAATTGGTGGCGCATAACAAAACTCTACCCAAAGCGTGGTTTGTTTCATTAATGTATGAAAGACTCAGAAATTGGTGTTGTTGATTGTGAAGCTTTCATTCAACACCTGTGCAGTTTGCTTACTTGCGTTATAAAGATTATTAATTAGTTCAATGAGATTGGTCACAATTGACCAAAGAGTTCTTGATCATTGTACGAAACAATATTCATTTTTATGATCTGTGAAGGCACAGAAGAACAATACATGAAATTAGATATGAGGTTTATGTCCATCAATTACATTGTGAAATTAGATAAGAGATAAGTTATTTTTTCACACCAATTTAAAGATTTAAATCATGCCAATCTATCTATTACGGTCCAAATTTCAAAAGATGATGGTAAGCAATAATGAAAATAACTCTATTAGGTTAATATTAAACTGTTAGCTATAATGAATGAAATATCTAGCATTTAAATTCACCATATTCTACTTTCTTGATATTGGTTAACAAAACTACTCCCTGATGCCCTTTATTTTATTTTATCTTTCGCTTTAGCTTACCATTCACACTGACAATAAAGCCCAAACGTCATTTTTAATGAAAAAAGGTCACTTGTATACTCTCTCACATGTATTAAGAATTATCCAAAAAATAAAAAAGAAAAGCTTATACATAGACCACTATAAAGCGAATCAGTGGCGCATTTTGTACTGTTGCAAGCAACTGGAATGACAATCCCACTCGAAATCTGATTCAGCGTGCTCGTAAAAAAAGTTAAACAAAATAAAACCAACCATTTAGCTGACTGAAATCCTGCAGTGATAGCCACAAACACTATTCCTTTCCACCTTTCATGATATATAGAATGGTGACTTAGCAAAACTTACTGAATAGACAAACATTTTTGTCGACGACAATCTAAAGGACTTCAAAATGATTGGGGGTATTAGTTTGACAGACCAAAATGAGTGGAGCTCATGACCTTCTTTCCTTCCTTTCAGTTGACCTTCTCTCCTCCGCCTTTCATCAATTTTGCTGCCTGTCCAACATTACAACAATGGTCATAGTATCAAACACATCTCATTCTAGAATACATAAAGAAGCTCAAAGTTATTCCTAATCTCATGCAAAATGCATATACCCATCACCAGCATTAGCAGCAAAATTGCAGTGTGAGTAGGCACAGATCCTGCCCACAAAGGGCAGAGGATTTTTCTGATCCCATCCCCCTAAACAGGAATATTATTCACTAAAAATATTGTTGAAAAATTTGAAGCAAGTTGCACGTGTTGGTGCATTTGTTTAAATGAATACCTCGTCTCATTTTGATTTTTGTTCAGTCCTACCACGATTGGTGGCCTCAGCAGTAGGACGCATCAAAGGCAAATCACCTGAAGAGAAAAGAGAGAAAATCAGCATAAAATAGAAAATGAGTAGTAAGAATGACCTTTGCCATACCATAGGTAAAACTAGGTTGCTTTCTAACCTGCAACGGGTACATTGATCCTTGGAACACTAGTTACAATTCCTGCTTGTGCTCCCCTAGAGACAAATCTAACTTTCTGGCTTTCTTCTCCTGCTCTTTCTTGTCACTTCCACGTCTCATATCTGCCTATGTGATAGTTAGGGGTGGTAAAGCAACATCAGTATCAAGTACTTAAAGGGAGCTTGACTGCAAGACCAATCCATCAAGTAGGGACGAAAGTTGGCCTTAATGATCTGATGGTGCTGAGAAAAATATGAACAAATAACAAAATATGGCATGACAAATAAGTTGGTTAATTCACAATGAAAACTTAAATTAGGCTAGATTTAACTTCCAAAATCATGACGAACATATTCATAAAAAAAATAGAAAGAACCCCAAAGCAGATATAACTAGCCATACACAGCTATGTATAGATGTTGGCTGTTCATTTCAGCATAAATAGTATTATCAAAAGGACTTAGAAGACAAACAAGTTCTTTAATACCATATATCAAGTCCGTTGTTAGTATAGTGAACAATAATAGCCTAAACAGCCCAAATACCAGCGACAGTATATCTAGAATATGACAACATGAATATTAATTTTGCAAGAACACACAAGAAGTATCATATAATTGACAAAATCAGGTAAAATATGAGCATAAAATAACAAGTACAGGGAAGCACAAGAAAGTAGATGCAGAGAAGAAACAGTTAAGCACCTATTTGGTCGTAGTAGTCACTTGGGTCATATCTATGAGGGTCCAATACATCCTTATCAAAGCAAGATCCTATTTGGTCAATATCTTGATACCTCACAGCATGCAACAGGAAGTCAGGGTTCCGATAGTCCTTCCTATTGCGAACTGCTGCATTAAAACTTTTTCCAGCCTTCTTATACTCAAGAAATTTATTTATCTTTCTCTGCAATAATAATAAAAATCATAGCACATTGTCATGAAAGAACAACAAATATGCAAAAGCTAAAATAGTTTTATATACAATTTTCTACTTTATCAAAAATTGAGGGAAATTATTTTTAATTTAAACTATTACTTAAAACTGCTAAACTGCCAATGTACTAAATAAGGAGTAAAGTGATGATCATTCAACTTACAGAATGTCAAGAAGGGGGTAAGAAAATATAATAATATAAGATGCATTCAATAAAACAGAGATGTTTAGTGGTCAAAAAACTTGATACAGAGAAGTATTGGCAAATTATCGCTTTTTTCATAATTCAATGATTTGATCACAGAATTAGTAATATCTGAAATGATAAGTCTTGAATTTATATTAAAGGGAACATGTTAATGAATCAAACCATATATCACCACTTAGTAATTAAACAAGAGCAGCTACCGAATTAATCAATAATACCCCCGCAAGATGAGTGATTTCCGCACTTTTACACCTTAAATTCATTTTGGATGGGTAGATTCTCACACTAAAACACTTAGTCAAAAATTTCAATGCCAAAATTCTAAACATAGATCACTATATTCAAGCGCTTCTACAGGACCTTAGAATTATGTATGTACGTGTAGTTTACATTACATATATACACAATCACTAAACAGGACTGGAAGTCATAAGAGATTAGAGTGTAATATTGCATTACAACTCTTCCAAAGTATCGCCAAATTGGTTTAATCACATTCACTAACTAACATATGAAAATAATAAAATTAATGGATAAGAAGCTTAAGAATTTAAAGAGCCATAGCAAATTAAAAGCAGAGCTCTAGTATGGCACAAAGCAGAAAGGGAAAAAGACATCAAACTACACAAGCACACAATAGCTGTTTTTCTTTTAGGGGGAGGGAGCAAAGCACACCTATTCAATTCAATAAATTACTAAAATTTATTGAGAATAATTTATTGATTATTGCAAAATTAATCTAAAGGAATTTACTTGTAGGCATTCAGAGCATTTAACTTGCGGGTGGTGGTGGGAGAAATCTATCCAATGGATCTACAAACTTCTGCTCTTCCTGAGCTGTTTCTTCATGTTCTGCACCATCTGATCCAGCCACAGCATCAACTTGCATGGTATGAGATGGCTCAGAAAACTAAGGAGTGTTAACTTGACTGCTAGGTGTCAAAACCTGAACAGATCCTGATGATGCTCCATCTAGCAAATCACTTACAAAACCACATTCAAGGAAGTTCTTCGGTAGACCAAGAGGCAAAAATGATAAACAGAAAAACAAAATAAAACAGTAGGATTATTCCCATCCAATATACTTCATCGAAAAGTGAACTAAAACCACCCCAACGTAATGTCCGAGCCTCTTTTCCAACAATCTTATTCTTAAATACCCAACCAAAGTCCAAAAGATTGGCATATTCTCAAATTTATAGTCTCAGACAAACTCTCATGCACTTCAATTATCCAGAACCAAACAGTTAAACAATCAAATATAGGCAAAAAAATTGCATATAAAAGGTCAGTTGAATAATCATTCTTGATTAAATACATTTCATGCAGAAGTTAATTTTAACTGTTTTATATGTTTATTACCTTGTCAATATGACAGTTCAGATTCATTAGCTCATATTCATAATTATCTTACCAGAACTGTCTATACAAGTTCCAAAAGAACAGACTTTTTGGCCAAATGAGAGAACAGATTACTGGTCAAAATTTTAAATTCTTCTGTTCCAAAAAGAAATCAATGACATTGTGAAACTCTTGAGATATTCTTCTTTACCGCCAACAGACTAATCAAGTAATATTCATTCTCTGAGAATAACCTATAGTGGGATGAGGTGTCCAAAGAAAGGATACAATAAATTTAGCAGAACGTACTTTAATCAAAAGGGGAAATACCATTTGTTGTTTGAAGTTCTTCCTCAAACATAAGTCGACCGTTACCATCAAGCCCTCCATCCTGATATCAGAACCAAATATAAGTTATTAACTTATAACCTAAAATAAAGAAGGAGAAAATGGTTTCCTAGTAGAAGGTAACCTGCCTGGAAAATATGGCAAGGCCAGGGTGCCTAAGGTAACGTCAGGGTCTTAAACATTTTGGGCAATTTTCAAGTTTAAGAGACATGACTCCATCAATGGAAGAAAATAATGATGAAGGAACGTATAGAAGACAAATATAATATACCAAAATTGCCATGTCCTCAGTCCTACTTAAATGCATTTCAAAAAAAAAAAAAAAAACAGAGGGGTGGATTCAAGTAAGAGAGAGTAACTCTGGCTCAGGTGACATTGGTATTTCATCATGACCACAGTCTATAATGGTAATTGTCCCTCTCCTACTCCTCCTAGATTCAACAGACACTACTTGTTGATCCTGCGGTGAAACCAACATATCAACCAAAGGCTGTGGTGGCATTGAAGTCCCAAATTTACTCTTCTCCGGGGTCATCCCATCATTTTCAGCCGGTGGAGTAGCCTCATTAGCAGAATCAGGATCCTTATCATCTCAGCATCACTCTCTAGATTTTCCTCTGCAATCCTCACATCCCCACCATCCTGTTCTTGTCGCTCTCCTTGCTCCATTCCTCCTTCAACATCCTCCATCTCGTCATCTTCCTCATCACTGTGTACATGGGCAGCAAAGCAATACCCTAGTATTGCTTCTTCTTGGATGCCATGATGCAGGGGCTCAGTGATTAATCCAAAAGGTTGATCAAATAGAAAAGTATCGTAGATAGAAGGAATCGAGTGCAAATTCCAGTAAAATACTAAGTGTTAATGCATTAAAGGTGGAAAAGAACAAAATCTTCAAATTTAAATTTTAGTAAAGACAGAATCATTGTCGCTTGGGTTCTCTCATTGCCAGCCCTCCTATTTGCAGCTCATATTCAGCCTAAAATGACGTCAACCATACAGAGAAAAGAATCTTGACACCAGTCAGTGCAATAATGATTAATAAGCCACTCTAGAAAATCTGATTTCCTATTTTGAAGAATTTGTTGAAGAAATCGAGTATTGTGCTGCAAAATGGAGAAGGGAGTTAGTTTTAATTTGCAAGTAAATTGATAAAGGAAAAGAAAAGGTAGAAAGAATATTCAAACAAAAGTTGAACTTGCAAATATGGGAATCTATACAGCATGACTGGCAACCTTAACTTGGTAGGCTCAATACAATATAGACTCTAGGCTCAATACAATATAGACTCTAAACCAGAACCAACTGATATTCAAACAACTTACCCAGCTGTTTGCTCAATTGCATTGATTTTAAAAGTAATATCACAAGCCTCGAGCCTTTAGATGTGTGGCCGTGACCATGTTTAAAACATGGATGAGAATTTCAGATACTACTGGTCAAGTTCCTTATTTAGGTTTGATAATATACATATGCTTAACTTTTATAGACTATAAGATCTCAACAAGCAAGAAAATCAACGTTCAAAGCGTTGCCAACACAATAACTTCCAAAAATACTTAAAATTCAAATTTTTCCCACAATTATTGTTCCAATAAATGCGAAGAGAAAAATAAAACGGGAAAATCACCGAAAAAAAATACTTAAGAAGGTTGAATGCTTACAGATCGTTTAAACTTTTGAATTCTCTAAGCTCAAGATGCTTCCAAGTTTTTTACTTTTCAGACTACACCGACTCACAGCACAACTTAAGCAAAACGGTCTAAAACATCATATCGAAGAACGGCAACAAGAACGGAGAGGGAAAACCCTTGACAAGAACCTGCTGGTGAATCAATTCGGATAACCCATTGACGAGACATTTCTGGAGAGGGAGAAGAAAAGAAGTTGCCGTCGTCGAGACTCGAGAGAGCCAGAGAAACTGATAGAGTTGAATAGACGGACTCAATTTTTCCACTGCTTGAACGGCCACGATCTACCATAAATTAAACGATGTAGTTAAATTGATAAACTTTCTTAATTATGACTTTAATTTAATTTATAATTATAATAAGAAGGAAAAATTGCCGAAAAAGCATCAATTACAAAATTTATTGCCTAAAAACTAACTGAGGACTCATGTCCTTGAGGGGTATTTGGAAAAAAAAAAAAACTTATGTCAAGTTTTTTATATCTATTATGTCAAATTCTTTAATCATACATGGTCATGTCTTTTTTTATTTCATGCGGAGAACTTGATATAATCAATATAAGAAAATTAATATAAGTATTATCCTAAACATTAACTTTCCCCATTTTTTATTTATAATATTTAATATTTAGTTAATGTATTGTTAATTTTAGGTTAAAAGCTATTTTCATCCCTGAACTGTTTCAAATTTTTGGCCTAAAATATTTATAAAAGAGTATCTACAGCTACAAATTACAATAATGTAAAGCAATTGTCATTTTTTTTTAATTGAAATATAGTGCATCATGTTTAAGGTGTGCAGCATGCTTATATAGTTATATTTCAATAGAAAAATGTAACACATTAATCATGCTTAAGTGTTACATAGCTATTAGTTAGTACTGATGACCATCAGCCAAAGAAAATCTATCAGGTATGTACTAATAATTAACCAATAGTAATGTAACATGTTTCACCAATATCAATATATTTATCAATATATTTAAATGTTAATATATTTGCTCTCCATAATTGTTTTAAAAATTAATATTCCAACCCATGAATTGTATGGGGAGAAATTTTAAACATCCCGGCGAAGTTCATGAACTTTTGTTGAAAGAGATCAAGCTGGCAAGTGCCAATATTCAAACCCAAAATCATTAAAAAATTACATTTGTCTTAATTTGTACTCTTCATATCCTTAATGTAGGACCTAATTTGAAAGTTGATATTGGTTCTATATGTAAGACATATTTCATATGTTTCTCAATTTTTTTCAAATTAACCTTGTTGATATTCTCTCAACAATGATTATGTCGGAGTGGCAGGGAAAAATTAAGAAAGATGATTAGGAAGTTTTAGAAAAAAAATGTACTATCTCCAGTCCTAATTATAAGAGCTAGTTTGACTTTTAATTTGGTCCTAAATATAAGGCCCCAATCCACTTTGTTTTCCATATTTATTTATTTTTTTCAAACTACCCTTACTTATATTCCATTAACTATAATTAATATTACCATAATAATTCAAATAAATACTATTACATATGGAGAAATTCTACTTCCTCTCTCCACTTCTCATTTCAACTATTGAATTAAAATTTGACTGGGTTATTTTCAATATTTTATAAATATATTGATAAACTTTTAAAATAAATAAATAACTCAAATTGTTAGATTTTAACCATCACTGTTTAAATCACAATGAAAAATATTCAAAAGATTAATTTATATCTGAAAACAAACTAAAAAGAAAATAATAGAAAAATGAAATTTTAGTCATGAAAAAATTATTTTAAATTTATAAACTGGCGCCTTTGACTGTAAAAAAAATCATTTTAAATCTATGAATGATTTATTTTTTAAAAAAATCTACAAACCACATAAAAAATGTTAGATGAACCTTGTGAACTTGTAAATTCTCCAGAGACGATAACCATCAAATACTATAATATGGTGGATTTCATTAATTCGAAGGACTAAATAGTACTTAGTGCACAGAATACCTCTTTTGCAATAGTTAGTAGCTGAAGCCAAAGGCCAGTTTGCCATTGACTCATCCAAAATTGCCACAGCTCTGAATTGTCCAACCCACAAAATTTAAGCACCATGCATACATATCAACCAAAAGAACAAGACAAAAAAAAAACAGAACAAATACTCAAAGAAAGAAAAAAAATTATCTCAATACTTCATCACTTCTTGTACTAACCTTGGATCACACTTATATTTGATTTGGTAGTGGACCTTCCTTTTCGATGACTTCTTTTCTTATATGTGGAATATCATATTTCTTAGAACCTCTATCCTTCCTGATTTCTACCATGCAACTTTGCAGACAGCTCAATTATTCTTACTAGCCAAGAACAAAAAGATGACGACACAAATAGATAGAAAGAGAAAGAGGCCAGGATATGCCCTTTCATTGCAAAGAATAAGTCAAACAAGCAGAAGTCAGAGCAAAACACAACGTCTATATATATAGATATGATTACCACAGAAGTCATAGTCTCAAAATTATAAATGAAGCGGATAAAATTAAAACTCAGTGATGGGATAGCAGCCTATATATATATATATATATATATATATGCAAGTAATAATTGTACCGTATATAACAAAAATATAGATAAAAATATTCCAAGTCATGCGAATGCAATGTCAATCTAAAGATATAATTGGGCACCATTAGTTTTGGGTGCCTGAATGTGTTCCTTTCATTGTTTAACATCATGTTCAAAGTTTGAAATTTCCACCGAATGAACTAGGCAGCTTGTTCAGGTCCAAGAGAAACTTACCTGAAAGTTATCTCTCTCAAGGGCAACAGAATTAGCAACCAAATTAATGACATAAAAGCGAAGTGATTGCAGAATTAGTAATCAAACTATTGACTTATGCTCAAAAAGTTCTTAGTCTTTGATTAAGATAACAATAAGTTGTAAAGTCCTAAAATCATATTAATGCCATCACCTGTTTCAGATTCACCAATTCCTTCATTGTTCAAATCCAAGTTTGTGGGCATTGAGTGAGATTGATTCTCAGTAGTGACCATTTATAGCAAGCAAGTAGGATGCCACGTGCACTTCTAGGGAGTTAAGCTAGTAATCTTATCGATGACACTAGAAGGACAATCAAGACAAAAATATGTGAATGAATCTTAAGTAAACACATTGAATCAATAAAAACACATCAAACGGTAGAAGTTCTTAGATCGACAAAAATCTAAAATCACAAACCAAAAATTAGAAATCAAAAGTCTAGAATAAGAGATCAGTCTGTGCTATCAAGCGGAGGTTTGGAGCGGTTGGAAGAATGCAATGAATCCGTAAAAACAAGAAAATCTAAAATCTCAGCTCAAAAAAAAAAA